GATCAATTATATTGCTAGTTTCCACGTAAAATCATCATTAAATTTCATCGTTAACTTAAATAAAATTGATTCAAATTGTTTTTGAGTTAAATTATAGGGAAAATTGGAAAAAGAGACATTTTTTTAAAAGTTTGTCTATCTATACCTTTTATTTGAAATTATCAATCTTGACTAAACTACCCCTATTAACATATAAATCAAATTTTTAAGCATTTTTAAAAGTTGAAAATTAGAAAATAATGTTAATAATTCATTATGTATTGTATATGAAGAAGATGCTGTTCATTTTTTTTTTGAAAAATAATAGTTTTTCATATAGATGATTTTTGTTCCGAAAAGTTTAGAATACGTTTTCTTATTTCTAAAACATTTAGATTTTTGCAATTTTTACATGTTCTGAAAAAATTAGATTATCCATTCTACCAGTTTGTACATGTTTTACGAATTTTAGAACTAAAAACATGTTCTAAAAGTTTTAGAATACAAAATGTTGTATGTTCTACGAAATTCAGAATACAAATTCTATAATTGTTCTATGTTTTGTAAAATCCAGAATATGTATCCTACGATTTACTACATGTTCTGAAAAATGTAGAATATATATCCTAACATATTTTGAAATATATATTCTGAAAAATATTCAGTTAAATAAGATGGAAACAAAATCGGAAAATTAGAAAAGTAAATAAATCAGTTAAGAATCGAATACATGATTCAGATTCTCGACATATTTTCAGAATATGTAATATAATTATTTTAGAAGTAATAATTATTTTACTATTTGAATCTTTTGGCACTCTTGCTCTCTCAGTCTTTAGAGTTTAACCATATATGATATTAGCATCATCTTCACTCCACCTACGACTCTACAAGAGCCTAACGCATGACTTCATATTTGATATTTAATTAACCCTTTTAACGGAATAAAAGTCATTCAAATTACAGCGTTTACTAGAGTTGTTTATAAAATTTGAGGATAAGTTTTGGTTTCAATATAGGAAATATACCCAGGTTATTAAAAAAGCATGATCAATTTGATAAAGTAATGTCTCATTATTACACGAATGTACCAAAAACACCAAGATAACTGAGTAAACCGGACCTAAACCAAGAACAAAGATTTCGTATATTTTAGCTAGAGTAACTTTAAGATTCGAAGACGCTAAGCTAGAGTAAGTAAACATGTGTTTACTATCCTCTGCTCGTTTGTTTTTATGAAAAAGGTTTTGACTTTTATGTGTTCACTTTAATTCGTGTTTCTTTAATAGACTTAAGATTCACTCTTTTGCTGATGAAATGTTGATTTTACTTTACGAGAATATGAAAAATGTTGCAGATGAGTCATTGACGAAAAAACAGAGCACATTTACACGAAAAGCACCAGAAACACAAAGATATTGGAGTAAACCGGACCTAAACCAAGAACGATGATTTGTATATCTTAGCTTCGAAGATGCTTAGCTCTGTATCCTCATGCTCCTTGTGTTGGTGATCGATTTGCTTTAATGGAGGTTCAGTTGCGGAGGAACGAGAGAGATAGAGAAAAAGAGTTATGTGTCTTCAATTTTTACAATTATTAAACGTAACGTTTTGTTGTTTTTTTCCGTTTTATTGTGGTATCTTGAAACAATACAAAATTTAGTTTTTTTATTAGAATATTTTATGTTATATAATTAGAGGGTATAAGTGTATTTAAATTTTCAAAAAACCTATTTCACCAAACTTTTAAATAAAATGTATAGATGGACAAAGTTTTAAAAATATATCTCTTTTTTCTAATTTTCCCTAAATTATACAATATATATATATATTTATATATATATTATTTAAACAGATTATACAATATAATTAATAATTAATTTAAATAAGAAAAAAATAATTTTTAAATTTTGTTACCAAAATCAATACCCAAAATGTTGCATTGTCAATCATCACTAACCATTCGGATCAAATCGTGGGAGAATCTCAATGCCCTTTTGGAATTAGGTTGTTCTACCAACCATTAGTTGTCGGTAGCCCTGGGCAAAAAGCCCGTACCCGAGGCCCAAACCCGAACCCGGCCCGTTAGGCCCGTACCGAATCCGAACCCGATTAAAGAATATACCCGATCGGGTTTTGGTTTTGAAAATTCCGGGTTCGGGTTCGGGTTCGGGTAAACCCGAACATATCCGAAAACCCGATTTCGTTCATCTATAAACCCGATTCTCGATTTCATTCCTTTGTTTGTTGATCGATTTCAATATTTCATTGCCCATATTCCAGAACAGAACTAGCATATACGTACTTGAATCGAACTCATAGGAGAATTAATAATAGAACCCAGATTATACTTGAAGCAACCCGATTTCGTTCATCTGTATACTTGAAGCAACTGATTTCGTTCATCTGTAAACCCAGATTCCAGAACTAGCATATACTCTTGAATCGAACTTAAAGAGGATATTCATTCCCAAAAAAATCATAGGAGAATATTTAGCTTCCATACCCAATTTCGATTTCGATGTAATCTGGTAAGATGAGCTTAGTTAGGTCTCGATGTAATCTGTAGCAGTATTGCATTCCTCTGTATTACTTCTATCGTCTGTAATACAGTTCTCTGGGTAAAAAAAAAATTCTTTAATTTGTTCCATCATCTTGATTGATATGCGATTGATTTATTAGAAAAATGGGAGAAAAATGTGGAAATCTGGGTTTGTTTTTTTTTTTTTTGTCAACCCAATCTGGGTTTGTTTATCTACGTGAAGTCAGTCTTAGTTTTATAGCTTTTGGTCATATTAAAAAAGCTAGCATAATAGTTTTATAGATTCTTAGTTTTATGGTTTCTTTGTTATGGTATTTTCTAGCTTAATCATACTTAAAAGACATCTCCTTTATTTGGTTAAATTTGAGTTTCGTCCTCCTCTGTAACTTGAGTTTTTTTTTTTTTTTTTTTATCTATCAATGTCAAATCTATGTTTCTTTTTAACGAAGGTACGGACACCTTTTCTTACCAAAAAATATAAGTTCGAATAACCTAATTAACATGTGTAAGAGATGACAAAAAAATTAACATGTGTAAGCTTTAAGTCAAATAATATGGTCAATACTGAATTATGAGTGAAGAAGATGGTTGCTCAGTTGTTCTAGTACGATTAAAGACATAACTTATAAACTGCTTTAGTTGTTTTCTATACGTTTCGTCGAGTAATATTAGTATATTACTACGTACCAAAAGGTACTTATTTTCAATGGCCATAACAAGTTAACAACTTTTGATGATCCACCGTCTTGTTATATCAATCGATGTTAATAGTGATTAGTTAAGCATCAAACAATCTTTTTTTTTGTCTTCACAAAGAAAAGCAAATTCTATTGCTTGTAGCTTTGTTGAAAATAAATAGATCCTTTAAAATTGTTGTCACCTCGCGATTGCTATGTTTTTTGTTTTTTATAGTGTGTGTGTTCTTATTTAATAAAGCTTTCGTATGTTGTTTGATATAAAACCAGTTTGTTTAAATTATATAGTAAGAACCCGAAACAAAACCGAACCCGAACCCGAAAAACCCGGCCCGAACCCGAGCCCGCCCGAAAATATATATATACCCGAATGGGCTTTAGAAGTCTAAACCCGAAAACCCGAAAAGCCCGGCCCCGAA